TACATACTGTTTTACACTTATGTTACAATAATGAGTATGTACACATACAGAATTTGATTATTTCAATAATATACCTATATTACTGTAATAAATAAATTAGTTCATTACTCAAAGAGGGGAAAGAAAAGTAAAAATACTACACGTACTTAAAATAATATAAAGAAATAAAGATATAATAATATATGAGTATCATTAAATATAGATAGGTTATTTTTGCAGAAAACATACTTTAGTTGCTTTTTTTTTAGAAAACTTTGAATATAAAATATTAAGATTAAAATAGAAAAATGTAGGTTAGTATCATAAAGAGTAGATAGAATTATGAAAAAAATGGGAAGAGTATTTAAAATTAAAGTAATGATATTTGACTGACTTCAGAAAGTTTTTAAAGCAACTTAGTTATTTGTCTTCGTAATTTGAAAGGGTTATTAAGATTAAATAATTATAATTAAACTACTTAGAGTGATATTTCTAATTGTATATGTAATAATAAATCTAGTGTGAGTAAATAATTTACAAATAATAAACCTCATTGAATAATTTATAAATCTTTTTAATGCCGTAATAGATCCAAAATTTCAATATTCATTCTTTGTTTTAAAGAATAACAATAAATATATTTTTTTTTAACATCCACAGGGCCTTCGGTGGACGAACACGTTTTGAAATTGACAGGTTTTAATTTTATTAATTTACTAGCTGTTTCCCACGGTTTTATCTACATGAATTATTCTATCATTATTCTATGTGTTAAGTTAGAATGCAACTTACCTGAGTACTAAATTTATTTTAACTATTCAACTGTTTAAGCGTGATTGAGTAATAAACATTCAAACATCTTTACGAACTTTCACATTTGTACTAATATTATTATAAAAAAAGAATTGATTATTTTTTATTCATTTGTAATATATAAATTTAACAACAGCTCAAACGGCTTTAACAATTCTTTCACCTATAGAAAGTTACATTATCAGCAAGTAACATAGACTATATATTATTTTCAGTAATTCTATTTATCCGTGCGAAGCCGAGCAGCATTACTAGTTTATAATGTTGGTAGGATTACACGTACACATTAATATAAAGTGTCTACCTATCAAATGTATATTTTCTGTCAATATTTGCAGAGTTCTTAAATTAAGTTTTACAAATATATTTTTATTATTATTTATTACTTTATGCGGTCTTCGAGATATTTCCGTAACCAAGTTACATGTTGTTTGGCGACGAATCGCGAAACCGGCAGACCTTCGGGTCGGGCGTGGACGGTCGACGACTTGGTAAATTCTTGCCATCTCGGCCTCTAAAGATAATGCACCTGTATTTTACAATATAATCATATATATATATATATATATATATATATATATATATATATATATATATATATATATATATAATAAAGGCATAAGTGGATTTAAAGTCATAAAAACTTACATAACTAAAGAAACAACATCATAACTTATTAATGTCTTACTTTTGGGCTTTCCGTTAAGTGAACACACTCCATATTAGTCTATGTACTACGATTTTAATATTCGTAGATTTCTGGCGAAATCTGGGCATAACTAGTAGATATTAAATTTACCATAATGGCTACAGCCGACGAATTCCTTTGCCTATTCTATTCAGAATTACAGCTGTGAGTGCATCTCGAATTCAAAGATAGGTAAAGTCTCAATTTTACATATTATTTTTTGTTTCATTTATAACTCGTCTGATGCACATATATGCCAATTCGGGGGCCGAAGAATAAAAATAGAAAGTACTTAGATTAAATACTATATAATACCAACAGTTTTGCGTAGTCAATGTGTAACGATGTGATTGTTGATTTTCAACACTGAATATATATGAAATAAGTTTTAATTGATAAATTGATACGAACGATGATTAGTGCTACGTATGCTACCTATTACAGAATTAATGATGTTGACAAGAATGTGTAGAATAGTAATGGAAATTTGATTGCTTTTATTTTAATATGTACCTACTTATAAATAGATAGTGCAAGCCATAGAAAATCCAACTGGAAAAAATATTCTGATTGTATTATAAACTCGAATTAGTTGTTTGAATCTTAATCGGAATAGCTTTTAATTTAATAAATAAGACACCGTTATTATTGTTCATACTATATTAGAATCATGCATCTGTTATGTTGTTTTCTCTCATTATACATATGTGCTTATGTTCAACACTGGACAGATAATAGCTGAGATGATAATGATACATATATATGTAGATGCATAATAAGTTTTTAATACATAACCGCGCCTTATAAATATGCATAATAATTTTTGCTAAAGCATTGAATAGATTCACGAGTCTAATGCGTTATCTTTGACATTCTATTTATGAGGATACAGTATTGTATACTGAGGCATCTTATCTTTAGAGTAGTCTATAGTCGATACAGTCTTTCGCCTTGTACTTTTAGCCTTCAAAAGCTATGTAACGTTGGAGACAATCGCTCATTTATGAGAAATTAACTCTGGTGTTCCATTCATTCGTTTTTCTTCATGCTTATTTATTACCTTAACCTCTAGTAATGGTGGGCGCTAGATATGTAGTTGCGTTGTAAATATTCGATACTAGCTATATTCCATGGCTTTATGTGAATTATTATTTAAAATATTTTATATATAAATCATCATCATCACCATTATATCAGTCGTTATCTGTCCACTGCTGAACATAAGCCTCCTCACTCGCCAAGTAGTTGCCCCGCTTGGCAGGCGGGTTGGCAACTGCAGTTAGGCTTTTAATTATATTTTATGAGGGACGCTGCTACCCATCTCTTTATTATTAAGTTCCCTTAGTCGCCTCTTACGATACTCACAGGAATGATATGGGTAGCCTATTCTATGATGAGACCATACGGCTATACGTAAATACAGGACATAATCTATCATTATACTAAAATTTACTAAAATCTGTCACGTGAACGTGAATAAGTAATAAGCTTTTCTTAATTTTTTACATTTACAATATTGAGTTCTACAACTTAGATTATATCTGTTATGTAAAAAAGGGGGTATGCTAATGCTGTATGCTAATCTAAGTCGCCATAATGTGGTAAAAAGTTTCATTTCTATTTAACTCTTCTTCAATTGAATTTCACCCTAATACGTCCAACTGTGGTATTTTAATCTCAGAGGATTTATTAAAAACAAACACCATTATTGTTTTAAACGTACAATATAACAATACAATATACCATATAACAAATACAATAATACAATGCGTAATTATTTTAAACTAGCGTTTTACTTGCTACTTTGTACATGTGAATTTTAGAAGTATAAAATAATCCACTTCTGGATAACGTATCATACCCAAGATACTCCAGATATTATGATCTCGAGGAACATAACTTTATAAATCGCATATTATTTGGTGCAGTAGTTTTTACGTGAAGCCAAAACAAATATACAGACAGACAGACAAAATTTAAAAGAATTGTTTTGGCATCTTTTGGTCTTATTAAGAAATCTCAAATAATTTTATGTGAAATACAATTAAACATCCTTGTACAGTACAATATTTATGATTTTATTATATTAGTAAGATGCTATATGATATGTAGATATATTTCTTACATAATAATATATAAATTCATTACAATAATCCTACTGAATATTGTTAATTAAGTTTTGATTAGGTTTAAAATATTGCAACAATTTGTATAAATTTTAGTGTAGAGTTGGAATATATTTTAGATTATCGTCTAGTATATTTTATTCTCCATTCACACAGACAATGTCGCGAGCTGCAGCTAGTATCAGAATATACGAAGACACTATTATCTGTTTCATCACGTTATCGTTTATTATCTAATTATGAGTCATTGATGTTAGATATTACTTTCGCTATCGCAAGAACATGCGAGTTCGCTCAAAGTTCGTTCACACACGAATTAAAATTAGTACTTTTAGTGAATTTTGTAATAATATTCTGTTGAATATAATTTTACATATAGTAAGATATCAAATATAATATAATATTTTAAAAATAGAACGTCACGACATCTAAATTCTACAAAAAAGTATGCAGGAACTGATATTATCGAATCTCATCCCTATCTGGTATAACACGTGTGGTTTTTGTCGTATGAATTAAATTTTTATAATATAATAAAAGGATAAAATAGAAGAAGAATAATTGTGTTTAGGAATGAAAAAGACCATCATTTATTACATTGACAAAAAGTGGTGAATAATTTAAAACAATATGTAACATTATTTATATATGTATCACTAGAATCAAATATCGTTGATGTCTAATATACGGAATATATTATATCGAAATGTTACAATCACATAGAAATTATTGGAATATGAATGTAAACTCTTTATTGTTCTCTCAAAGAATAATACAGATTATAAAGATTAACAATATGCATACAAAAATATGAATATTTAATTACATAAACTTAATTACATAAAAGCAATATGATTTTCATATTTATATTTATATTAATATTAATTATTATTTTTTAATCTTAATCTTCATAACAATATTTCTATTTTATATCAAGTTATTTATTTATTTTATAGTATTGTTATTTAAGATGCAGCCTTATTTAGTTTGTTTCTAAATTACGAATACACATGTTTGATTTAAAATGAGAACTCAATTAGAGTCTGTTTTTTTTTTGTGTGTTAAATGATATTTTGGCTAATTGTGATCCACATTAAACAGTATACTTTTTTAATTGTAAAATTTCTGTTTTAGTACATTATGAAATTATTTTTCTTTTAGCTATTTATTGTGCCAAATATAATTATTGATTTTTTCTATATTTAAAAAAAGAAAAAAAAAATGTGCTTACTATAAATGCATAAAGTCCAAGACAGTTACGAAGAAAGAGCGAAAAATGTCATTGGCACATTTACTCTTAGTTACTTTTTAAATTGTGGCTTCTATAATTTAAGTTCATTTCATTTAAAATACGGTTGCTGCCAAATAGCTGAGACATCGAGGTGCTAATTTGTATGTTTCGTCACGGGATGGGCCGCAACCCCGCGAGCGGCACCCTCCGCGGCCGCCGCTTTTCACCGCTGCGCGTACGCCTACCCAATATAAAAGCCTCTGCCGCCCATTCACCCGCTCGCAGTCTGTGCTCGAACGTAATAGTGTCCACTTCTCCTGTGCAAGGACTTACAGTTCAAAGATGAATTCACGGTGTTTAGTAGTGCTAGCAGCCGCCCTCGCCGTGGGTACGTAGCATTCCAAACATTTAGGGTGCGGCCACGCGAGCCGAACGGAACTGGTGTCCAGCGGTACTAGTGCTTGTTACTCGAACATGAGAACCGATATCACTGTGGCATATCGCGGAGCTGGAGTGTGATCGACAAGTTTCCACACTGAACCGTCGCAACTGTGCACGCGCAACAAAAGTGTTGAGAGAAATTGCAATCAATGTGGTGTAACGATAACTTTTTAGTGCGGTCTCACATATTTTACATAGAGTGGTATTTCTGCAACATGTCGTTGACCTCGGAAAATCTCAGCACTATACTGATCAGTTCATTAGTATTATTTTGTTCGATTCGTTTAAACGTTGTCATGAATAAAATAATACTTATCTAGTAACGAATGGAATAAGTAATATGGAATTATGAAAAATTACATCTGATTCAATATTCTCAGCATTTTTGTTGCACATGCACTTTTGACTAGACCACTTGTATCGTACGGTTTTGCCCGAATGAAAGTGGATAAATTATACATTAATTCAGGATATGGTTCGTCTCTGCACAAGATTTTATTACATTGTTTTTTATATATTTCTCTGCGATTCACTAACAAACATGTATACATTTTTACAGAATTTCAAAATTATAATATTAATATGTGACTTTTATAACTAGAGTAATAATGTTTTTTTTTTTTATTTAATAATCAGTTACATATGAATATAGTCCACTAAATAGGTATATGTTTTGATCTGAAAGTAACTTGAACTTGCCTTATATTATTCACTTTCACTTCGTTTTGTAATTTAAATCGATGAAAGCTTAATAATGTCAATAAAATTCTGCATAACATTTCATAATACTATTATAATTCACCTTGTCTCTCAATTTAATAATATCGTACGCGTGGATTTCAGAAATAGAAAATTTAATTAAATAGACCAATAGATAAAGTATCAAGATGATACAGTTACCGGATTTTAAGTTATAGATTTAGTAATGCAATTGCATCCAATTTCGTGCAGTAGTTTTTATGTGACACTAAAATAAAGACACCTATAAATATAGAAATAAAATTAAAAAAAAAAAAAAACAATATGGCTTTTGCTATACATTGATCTTATTTAGATCGCTCACAATATTTTTTTAAATATCATCCATTGTACATATATCGTTTAGTTACAATTTTATTATATTAATAAAATTCTCATGACATTTTTAATTGAAAAATAAATAACTTGAGTAACTAGAATAATTAATGCAAATCAAATTTAAAACAGGTTTCACAACGATTACTATGGTTTTTCGTAACGAGTATTAACATGGCCCTGGGCTTATAATATATATTCTAGGTTACGGCACACATGCTCCTGTCGTAATGTATCTATTATAATTGATTTATCGAGTACCCATTTGATACCCCATTGTAAAATGTATGTGAACATGACTTGGTATTAATGAAAATATACACTGTTAAATACGTGTAAGTTTCGAAACTGGTCGCATGTATAAATAATAAAAATATTTCAATAAAAACTGTGGAATAATGTATAAGTATTTTGAATAATGTTCATTATCATCATCATCATTATATCAGCCGTTAGCTGTTCATTGTTGAATAGGACTTCCCCATAAAAGAGAACATTGCGAGTAGTTATCACTCTTGGCAGGCAGGTTGGCAACCGCATTAGTTTTTGGCGATGTTTTAAGAGGAGCACTGTTGCCTATTCTTCGATCGTCAAATTCCTTTAGTCGCCTCTTACGTCACCTGCGGGAAGGGAAGAGGTGACCCATTCTATGCCGGGAGTACATGGCAACTGATCAATATTGTATAGTCGAAAATATAATTAATTAATTAAGAAATAACAAATCAGAGATTCAGCAACGGAAGTAATAGTAGATATAATGTCCAAGTACACAACATTTGTCGCGAGATATTCAAGGTGTTTCCTGTTCAAAGTTTGAAAGAATAAACAATATCGTAATCCGAGAAGTTATTACTGAATGTATGTGAAGTAATATATGGAAACACTTACATATTCGTATTAATTGACGAGAGCCTTAATTTCGCGGGCAACGACCCGGAATAAAATGTTGCATCCGTCACAAAAGCAACAGTGTTAGAGGCTTGAGTAAAATATTAAGAGTATGTCTGACAGGATGTTCTGCCTTGACTTTGATAGATATGATTATAGTATTGTTTAGAATTTTCAACACGTATTCAGTTCTCACGAAGCGCAGTGCGCACGAGTATTACGCAAGTCCCAATATTTTGAGCGTTTTCTAATAAAAAAAAAAAGTTATACCGTACAGCCGTTGAGAGATAGATAATAAACGATATGTACTACGCAATCAAATATTCATAGTGTTATTGAGCGTGAAGCTATTCAATTATCCAAGCTCGCGGTGCGTGCACAAATTTCACGTGAAAAAAAAAAGATAACAAGGTGAAAATGATTCAGCATGAATGCGCATGGACACGATTATCACATTATTGATGTTTATATGTATTTGAAAAGACAAATATAAGATTAATAGAGTAATTGAACAATATAAAGTTATAATAATAATATGTGGATAAATTGTGTTAAAGAGAACAAGCTGAGTGTTTTCAAGTATGACTATTAATAGAGATCTATAGAAGAGGAAAAAAATAGTCATTGAGTTTCAAATAAACAGAACAAAATTAAGGTGACGATAACAATACATATAATTATTAGTTTTATAGAAATTGCTAATTGCGAAGAAACTAATTATCTATTAATTCGGTATTTTATCATACCGAAAAGTCATCTTAAATAGATTTGTAAATTCGATGTTTCAAAAATTTATATTATATAGTCTTACTATAAGCTTGATTAGTACAAATCTGTTATTAAAATTTTATTCAAATGACAAAAAAAAGTGAACAGGTTAAACAATGAAATAACACCTACCTATCTCAATAATAACAAATGTACATTTTTTGCCCATAAGTATTAAACTATGACGAAATATCTAATTCTAATCGAGAGATTAAATGTGACTGAATTTATGACTCAGCCAGTTAGACAAACAAATAATAAGCTAAGGAACAAATGTTTGCAAGTTTTGATGAAAACTTACACGTAAAAATCACACGTTGATGTCTATAGTCGACTATTATCGCTTTCCATCAGGTGGGCCATCAGATTGTTTGTCAAAAGAAAACAATTTTAAAAATAATCATCATATAATAATAATATATTGTCATAATAATGAACAAAATTAAAAATTTTGTTGCCCATATACTCATTTGCACAATAAATAAAAATGAATTAAGATTCAGCTATTCTATGCCAATACATATTATTCTAAGGTCATCTCTCAAAGATTAAGGCCTTATATTAATTATGTAAGAGGTCAATTACAACCACCGGAAACATACAAGTAATTAACAATTTTGCTTCTGAACAATACAACGGAAACTAAATGGCAAAATTCTTTTAACAATGCTATCTCACGGTACGACTGTGTTCTTAGGCCTTAGACAATGCATCATTGATTCTAGCACATCTATTCTTATCCTGAGCTAAATACAATGTATCACAATATGAATTATTAGAAAATATATAGATTGTAAACAAGATTATGAAACAAAACTGCATTGTTTATGTGAAACATGGTTCTAATATGTAAATGAATCGATACAATCGAGAAAGTTAATAAAATCGAGTATGAAAAACAATCGTTTTTAGATTTTCTCCGATTTTCTCACTGTTTCTCTTTAGTTCACAGGTAGGTATTGTATTTCTCACATAAACTTGTTTCGAGGCAGCATTGTACTGAATGGTGACTGTCTGTCCTTCAACCAAACGATATAAATAACCTCTTGTTAGCCCTACGTATTGTGTTTTTTTTTTTTTTAAGATACATCCTTTACCGGTATCGGTGGCTTCTTTTGTCCTTCTCTTCAGTTTCTTGTAGCTGTCAATACAATGTATAATAATTTTAGGGGTCAATGTTTGACTCGTATGTTTCCGTGTATAATTTTAATAAAAGTATATTATTATTTAACAATATATAAAAGTAATTAGATATTGTTGAATAATAATATATAATTACAGTATTTAAATATATAAACAGAACATAATATCGATCATGTTATTTATATTGAAATGCAGTATGTTCATATTGCATAATGCTATTAAATATTTTATATTTATTATTTCAAAGGTATACATAAGATGAAGAAAATAAATATAAAAACACCATTGAAGAAATAACGAAGCAGTTAAAATTAACAGAGCAACGGAAGATGGTTGTAACATATAAAAACACATAAAATATGTGTTAAGTACGTAGTAAATGTATGCTGTATTATAGTGTTATACAAGACACATCATATTTGAGAGAAATATAATACATCAAAATGTAACAGATGCTCCGAAATGCCACTATGAAATTGAATTGCTTTACATAACTATTACGTATCGACTACGCAGCTACACAAAGAATTTTAAAAACATTTATTATGTCAGGCAGGTATTTACTGTAAACGTGCAAGAATTAAAATTAGAAGTCTAGTTTGGAATTATTTAATATAATTATGTCGATCGCGAGGCTGCAATGTACCTCAAACGATACTATGCAAAATTTATTGATTAATTAATCGGAGAGTATCAAGCAAAGCTGCTATGACGAGCCAAATTATAAACGTTAAACACATGATAACATAGAAAAAATTACAAACAAAAAATGACTTGTTAATAGAATTAATAGAATCTATAAAAGGAGTTTCTCAATTTCATTGCATTTTTATCTACATATGTTTATCAATATGGTCATGATTTTTTTTTAATTAAAAACCTTTGCTCATGTATTATGTGTCTGATATTATAATCGAGGTAGCGTCGTGTTACATATAATGTCACTGCAAATATTATACTTTTAGACCATACATAATACATAAATTTATCTATACAATTATATCCGTGATCATTCGTACAATAGTATAAGTTTATATAACAATAAATCAAGGACAACTTGATAGGCTTAGATAA